ACTTAGACATTTCTGAGTTCAGGGTAAAACGAACAAACTCAAGTGTGCTTGTATCCAGTGTTTTTTCTCATGAATCAGAAAACTTGGTGGAGGTATTAAGTGAATAGAATAGAAGCAAGTCAGAAAACTTAGCCTTCCTCTGGGTTGTAATGCTTGTCTCATCAAATTCCAACTGGTCTCTGGCTTTTTCTGGATACCTGGAAGATTTAAAGTCCTCTTTGAAGCTCCTGTCTGTTTGAAAAAGCCCAAGTATATTGATTTGCATAAACAGTGCCAAGAAGGCACTAATGCAGCAGATGAATCTTCTGTATCTACAAAATCCCACCACTCCTATACATTTAACATAAAAGATGTTCATTTGAGAAGTACCCCTGAAAAGTACAGAAACAAATGAGTATTGCAAGCCCTATCTACTCTCAAACATTGAAGAGATCAACCTAAAGGGGAAAAAAAAAAAAGGTTACGAAGAGATTTAGATTTATTTAAGTACATAAATCAGGAAGACATCTTCAAGCATGGGCATAATTATAGTGCTTTGGCTTGTGCTTGCCAGAGTACAAATACTGGAGTTTTCAGTGATACTCGCAAATCTCAAGTCATTTTTTTCCACAAAGCTCTCTGTGTTTTGTTCCACTTGCATCCAACCTGTGCTTCATTAGGAATATACTTGGTCTGTCTCATATACCATCCTACACACATTTTTTCTCATTCACAACATGCTGTATTTCTACTCACACTTCACCTGGTTCACCTGTATAGTGCTGATCTATTTTTATGGCAGATCTCAAAAGCATATTGTGAGATATGATCAAGACTGTCAAGTCTTTTGGGGTATTTTTGGTACGCTGGCGACAAGCCAGCTCACATCAGGACAGTGCTCCTGGGTTTAAGCACAAGGACAAACCCACATGGTACACCTCCTATATGCTCCTGAAAGTCATACCCACTATGTCCAGTGTTTTTAATGCATAGTTTAAGATTTGCTTTCCGTTACCGCTGGTCTGCTCATTCACTCTCTTGTGTCTGTACTCCTTGGTCCTACAAGCTCCCTACTTCAGGGAGTTGAAGTGCAACTGTCATTGTACTTCATCTTAAAAAGAAAGTCAATCTTTAGACAGGCCAAATCCTTTCCCTTGCTTCCATTGCTCTGAGTCCCTGCTCTTAATTCCTCCCCTTCCTTGATTTCCATCTTGTGTTCACTACATTCATGCCTGTAATCACCCATTGCATTACTGAAGCCACAGCCTTCAGTTACCCGCTTTTCCCACTGTCTCCTGCTGATAGCCCCTTCTTCAAAGCATACTCCCCTGTCTTTAGTGTTCAAAACATATGTTCCCATTTCACAAAGAAAATACCTGGTTTTCCAGGGTGAAAAGTAATCCAGCTTTCAAACAGAAATAAGGGTATCTGTTACTGGAAATAAGAAAAATAAAATTGGATACAATGAATATACTTTCCCTTAGAACTAGGTGCTCAGCATAGAATTCGATTTCCATACACCACTTTGTTATTTATGACACTAAAAGTGATTTGGTTTTCTAATATTAAAACCGTTTCATTTTTATAAAGGCACTACAAGGTATGTGACACCCTATCCTATGCTATCCAATGGTCAGCTGGGATGGGAGCTTTGTATAGGCTACTACCTGAATCCCTTTTCCTCCTCGCTCTCTCCCTTTCTCCTTTCCTCTCTGTATTTTCATAAGAATGCTTTAGGATAGTAAATGAATATCATGAATATTCATTAGCCATGAAAACAGAACTGTTTCAGTTGTCTAAGTATTCTATTCAGAGCAAAAACAGGTACATCTTGTTAGCGTAACAATTTTTGTTTTTATTTTAGTTATTTTCACATATATCTTCATGTAAGCTACAAAAACTGTGAAATGCAGAAATGGTATTAAAACCGCAAACTTAAAGGCTTTGATAAAATATTTTTTTTTTAAAAAAAGAATCTTTCCCTGCTAACAATGACCATTAAAAATGAACCATATTTTGATGGAATCTTTTAACAAACATACCGTACACTTCTCAGGAAATAAATAAAGAACAACAACAGAATAAACAATACCATCAACAACATAAAGCATTTAGTTGTCTGTTCATTAAAGACAATAATGAGATCTCTAGGCACAGTTTTAGGCATTAGAGAGGACACAGAGGCAATAGGTTAGTGTGCTCTGTACAAAAATACAGTCTGAATAAATTACACTGCTAGTCATAAGATTAGACTTCACTTACCAGTCAGTTCATTGCATGTTTAATAATATACAGTCACATGCTAATCCATATATATCATTTATATTTCAAACACATAGGTCTCTCTATATTTGTTTTTAAAATTTACAAAAGCTAAACGAACTTGTGCAAGAAACCCAGAAGAGGTGCTTGGTACTTGTCAGCACCGGACGGTATACTTTAAGCTTAAAAAATACAAATAACTAGCCCTGCTTGCAAGTTTGCTATATATATATTTATAGATATATATATTCATGTATATTTGAAGATAAACAATGGGTTTGTTGTATGAAAAAAAATCATCCCCTAGTGAGATAAAGCCAAACACAACTGAAATTGTGAAGGCATGATACAAGCATAACACACCAAATGATTTATTGTAGGTACACTCAGACAGAGAAGTATTGTCTTTTTGTGGCTAGAAAAAAATATTTCAGTATAACCTTGTATTTACTCTTAGATTACTGTTGAAAAACAAAATGCTTGCCAAAGCTGGCAATGGTAGGAGGAAAAAAAAAAGGGGAGGGGGCAATAAAAGGTAGGTACCTTTTTTAGCATCCATATTGTAGATGTCCAAATGATGAGCTGGGGAGTTTGAGCAGTGTGGCCTTACAGATTGCTTTACCACCTTCAACTTCACCTTCGTCTACTGAAGAAGCAGATGTTCAGGCTCTCTGAAAAGCAGATCTCTGACTTACAGAGTGAAATGTGAATGACAAACCTTGTTTTTAGGCATTCATGGTTGTAAATCTTTTTCCTGAACATCTTTCATACTAAGAATCATGTGATTTTCAGTTTTTATGCAATTAATTTGCATTTGCCTTAGGCCTGACATTTCTTTGCTCTCAAACTCCACATAAAGCAAGAAAATATATTTGATAAGATCAGCAGATATGATATGGGTTAGCACTGTGCTGCTGCTTCTGGTCAACATAGGCAAAGCACCGCACAATATCGAGACCAAAATACCACCGCCTTAGAAAAGTACACATATCTTCTCACAGCAGGCTTCTCTGCATTAACCTTATTCCCATGCCAAACTATGTTCTTCATGCTGCTAACTAAAAGCAGGGCTGCACAGCTGTCCAGAAAGATATAGCGTTAACTCTATACTGGATATCTGCCTTAAGTGAGTTTTGGGGGCTGGGGGGTGGAGGGGCAGGGAGTAGAGTTACAAATAGTCTCTCATGCCTGCGAAACAAAACAGAAGTAATTTTCCCTTCCATCCTTGCTGCTCCCTAGGCATCACCGTACAATCACTTCTAAGTGAACCTATCATTTGCTCTGTCATTCTAAATTCCTCTCCTCTGGTCCAGGAAAGAATGCCCATGCGCAATATCCTGGGATTTAATTCCAGAGAGGCCTAGAGTTTTAAAAGTTACCTCTGTGCTTTGGCAATACTGTTGAAACTACTTGCTAAATGCAGCCAGCTACTCTCACAACCTCTGCAGAACTGTCTCTTCCTGTGAGCTGTGGCACATATTAACACTGAAGATGTTACCTTAACATATTCAGCTGTCTTTTCCATGGAACCAGCAAAACCATTGTATATAGGTGAATTTACAATTTCCTGCATTTTTTTTTGCACAGGTGCATATACAATATATTTTAATTTTTTCCTTTAAAAAAAATAGTTCTTTCTAGAGATTAGAATTGTATAAAAATATGTTCATAATTAATTGAAAATATCCAAATAAGCAAACAGTAAACAAAAATAAAAGTGATGCAGATTAAATTCATTTAAAAGTTCTATTTTAACTTGGACTGCATTTCACTGTACAGTCGCTGGATGTTTTAAGTGGGAAATTATTAAGCAAGGAGTAATTAGATGTACATAATCATCAGCAAATGAATTAGAAACCTGGCCTTTAAAAAATGAGGTTACCTACTGTGGTGATAATGTTTGCGTATGGACATAATTGGATCTCAGCTATATCTTTGATGACTGAAGACACTCACAGACTAGCTAGATTTTTAAAAAATGGCAGTTTTTTTTCTTTGTAACAGCCTTAGAAAACAGCTTTTAGTAAGTACTAGATTACGTATAGAATAGCAAGTAGTCATTTCATCCATTTCTACCTTAACTTGATGTAAACTTTTAAGCATTTCCCATAATACAGAGTTTGTCTAAGAGCATAAACGAAGACAAGCCATTTCATGTTTATTTTGTAATACCAAAGTCAAGGGTACCAGTCCAAGCTGCTTTAGAAGGTGTAGAAAATTAGTATTTTAACCACTGCATCACAGCTTATATTACAATTTTAAGATTAATTATCTCTCTTCCTCTGTATTTATAACTGTATCATATATATTCCTTTATACAAACAAAAGCCTTCCAAAAATATATGCATGTTCCATAGGCATTTTTTCATTATGATGTTTGGCCATTAAACATGTATTTTGGACAACTGCAATTCATTCATGCATTTTTAGACGCCCCAGGGATTTACAAAGTCTTTTTCTGCTCTACCTTATCTCCCCCTACCCCCCAAAATACTCAGAGCTGAGACAGCTTCCAACTGCACAGTCAGAAGCACATATCTCAAAATTTGGACTTCCTTCAACTATCTGCCACAGCTGGCAGGGTAATGTTGATTACCAATTCATGAAATCCTTATTTTTGTTTTCTTTTTTTCTTTATTTCTTTTTTTTCTCCCCACCGAGAAGACTATTGAATGCAGATATTAGACACGTCATTAACCAGTTACATTCACTGCCCTCAACACAGTCACTTGCAACTCATTCCTTAAGAGCTTTTCCGGGCAAGGAACAAGGGGCCAATGCGGCCTATTGTACAAGATGCCACTGCCTGCTTATCCGAACGTTTGAATCCTCTGTGATAGAGGGAAGCTTCTAAATGGAGCTCACACCAGCTGCTCCCCTGAAGGCAATGGCAGATGCAGGCATGGCTTTCTCATTCTCACAATGATTGCTGTCATGTAGATCCTTTGCTTGCTGTCAGGAAAAACGAAGCTTATGTACCAGCGGCTTGCAGCATCTGCCTATGTAAGATCAGCAATCCTAGTGTTCGCAGCTCTTTTAAATGGTTGTAAAAGCTGGCTATAGTGTTCACACCCAAAAGGCAAGGCTATTTTATCGACAGAGGAGACTGTTTGGTGCTCCGCAGTGTTCTAAAAAAAACTGTGAGTTAGAAAAGAGAGGGGAATCCTTTTGTTACTTTTCATTAAATCATTTAGTAATAGTCTTCATAGTTCTTAGGGTTCAGGCAATAAAGAATGGCACCCCCAAATGAAAATATAGTTGCACCCCACGCCAGGCCATAGCCCCAGTTGAACTCATGGTATATTTTCAAGCTGACTGTTTCGATGAACTTGATCGGATAAAGGACTAAGCTGCACACTTGAAGAACAACTGAAAGAGAAACAAACCAAATGTCAGAAGAGGCCTTAATTTATTTCCTTAAAACAAAGGAAATCATCACAATACTGAAATTCATATTTACAATACTCTGGGTACAATTCACAAATTACAGCTCTTTGTGAAGAAAGTATAGTATTCATTTCATGCACACAGAGCAGAACACTTCCTGAATATTCACTTCATGAACAAATGTAATAGCTGTAGTACAATTATGATCCTTCAATTGTCCTGAGAATAAGCAGTAAAAGCGAATGTTTTCACAATTCTTTTCTAACTATCCTTTAGTCCCAAGTCATTAATCCTTCTACAATAGCAAAATTAAGATTGCTAGTTCTATAGTTATTATAGGTCAAAACAATGATTACAAAGACTAAAGAAATACTAAGAAATATAGCTCAGAATCAAACCATTTACTTAGCCTAGTAATAACTCATTGTATAAATGATACATACTTACATTCAGTGCATATTGCTAAATTAGAATTATTTCATATGCATTACTGCATTCAGCATAATGATATTACATGGATACCAAGAATCCATGAAGTTTTATCAGCTGCTAATCTTCTATGTGGCAAAACCATTTCTTATACTGTGAATTTAGGAGGTGGGGGTAGAAGTGCCTCATGCTGAACAAAAGTTAATAAAACAGATCAAATCCAAGGAAGGAAAAAGCTTAAACGTCATTACTTTCTAAAGCACTACCCCAGAGAGAGCCAGGAGATTTCATGCAGCCTGATCCACACTCCTGCAGTGGAAGCCAATAAACCTGGTCAATCATCAAAACAGCAAATAACAAGAAACCTTAAAATGAAAAGGCACAGTTTAAGGATTCTAATTTTCAAATGAAAAAATTCAGTTTCATCGGTGAACGTTACACTTAGTTTGATATGCTTGATAAGCTGTATGATCTAATGATTCTTTATGCTCTAGTTCTACAATCCACAAATGACTAAACACCACAGCAACGTTGGCAACAAGCTTTTTACCCTTCAAGTACATGATATGACCTTATCTCAATGTCCTCTTCTTCCAGCATTTAATGCTATCCTTTTGAAAAAAGCTTCAGCACACAAGTCATTCTGCAGAAAGCAGTCCTCTGATCACAGTTAGGGTGAGCACATCCACAAAGTTCCCCCATGGCTAAGTATTTGCAGGGTTGAGACATACTCCCATGAAAGTTTAATAGTATGCGTAATGCCATAACTACTTTCTTTAACATTCCTTGAGTCATTTTTTACAGTTTGCTTGGTATTGTAAAAAAGTAAGAATATTTTGAGATTGTTTTTATAAAGCCAATGCCAATACAAAATGCCACGGGAAAATAAAACAGAAGACTGCTTTGGATACAGAAGTCCTCCTGAAATCACACCAATAAATTGCATGAAAATAAGGTGTCAGTGATATTCTCCTATACTTCATGCACACCAGAAATGTCGTTTGCCTTTTCAATCTCCCATGCATTCTTTAACGTTGCCAACCTGGCACCTTTCCGTAGCCCCCAACAGGCTAACCCTCTGCTCACCTCTCGATATGAACTGCTATGGGGAAATTATTTCCAGTTTGCCATACATCCTTTGTGAAATCATTCTACAAAAGACTTATCATATACTGGTTTCTTCCCCCCTCATCCAGCTAGTCTATGAGCTAGTCCTTGGACTATCACTTAAGACTGACAATTTTAATAGTGTTGGGACAGTGCTTTTTTTCTTCTGTGAATACCAAAATCCATGGTGTAAGGATTTTTACGCCTAGTTACTGAAGTGTTATTTATTGTTTTTATATATATATTTATTTTTTCTGCTAGGTCCAATAAAAGATTGTGCAACACTAGAGATATTTTGGGAAGATGTGCTAGGGAAAGCTCCTACTCTTATGCAAAGATTATGCATTCTAGTTTAGTATGACGAGAGAACCCCTACACTAAAAAAAAGAAAAAAAGAAAAAGAAGAAAAAAGAAATGAAAAAACACACGCACACACAATAACCCACACCAGAACATATGTTCAACTTGGAAACACATCTTTAAGACCATCCAAAGTCAATGAGAATTTCAAGATGCATATAAACAAGTTTTTTAGTGGCTTCCTGAACTAGGGCTGCAGCATCTCTGTGGAGTCTATACGGAAATTGGTGAGGAGGCGGATGAGATGGTGTTGATTTCCAATTGAGGAAGCTCTCCACCTCAGTGTAATATCCAAAGTGAAATGTATTTTAACCTACGGACTGGAGTCGCAAAAGAAGGAAAAAATACAAGTCAACTGTTTGTGTTGGAAGAGGAACCTATCGATAAAGGAGCAAAACCTATAATGGATAATGTCTAGACATTTTTCTATTGAGCTTTCCTACTGGTCAAGCCACGGAAAAATTCAAAGGAAGTGCTAGTATCAACTGACAAGCTGAAACAACTACCCTGCATAACATTGCTGTTGCTTTGTACTATTTTTGTCTCCTGTTCTTGTTGCTCCTTGTAAAGTAGAGAAGAACCAGCGTGAGCTAGAGGCAACAGCTGGTAAAGTTATGAAAAGTGACGAGGATGATCTGAAGAAACACTAAAACAAACGCTTGCAACTACTGAACTGCTTCCAGTGAATTTAGAGTAATTCCATGCTATGTCAACCTGTTCGTGGAAGGTGTATATACTGCCTTTCTACAGAAATAGTATTTTTCTTTTCTGTAGGAAAAAAGAAATCTGAAAAAAGCTCTACTTAAATTGCTACTGAAAAAAAAAAAAAAAAAAAAAAGACTAGTCATCTCAAACCATAATGTTCACTTCAATTTTAGGCCCACTTTTATGATGAAATTTCATAGCTGTTATGCCATTTGCATAAAATATATACAATTATATGTAGTTACCACACCAAGCATGAAAAAAATAAAATCAAAAACTTTAAAACAGGAAAAACATAACTTTCAGTCCTTTCCCACCTGTCATTCAAATATCTTACTGTAACAGTCTTGCTGTTTAAATAGCCCTTAAATACCCCTTTTTATTTGGTCTATCTGAAAATGGAGAGGCTGGCTAATAATTTATATATTTCTGTTCTCTGTATCATTCCCCCTGTTCTACTTAGCACACTTCATTAATAATTGATGGATGTTGCAATTTCAAAGATTAACACAGATGCAAAATAGATTATAAATAGAAAACAATCTGTATAGAAGTTATTGAGAAATGCTATAAACTACTGAAACCCACTGCTATGGCTAGAAAGGACTTCCAAGTATCAGATGGTCAAATCTCTGCCGTAAGACAAATTCAGCTGCACTTCCGTTATTCCAGATGTAGGGTTGTCTCTTTCCAAGCATCTCCTCTATAAAAGACTACAACCTGTCCTGAAAGTCAACTGCTACCATAATCTTATTCACAGAAAAACCCTCCAAATTTAATTTTAGAAAATATAAAATATAGAAAAAGATATTCTAAAAAAAAAAAATCTAAGCTAAATCTTCTCTTAAGGGTATATTTGGAAATAAGTAACTAGTTATTTTCTTCTCTTCAGCACATGTACTGCTGGCATGTGTCTTGTCTGGCCTCTCTCTCTGTTAACTTTCTACTTGGGTTACACTTTTCTGACCATTCCTGATGCTCTCCAGTAAAGTGTCTGCACTTGGGCCACATCCATCTTCAAGAACAGTGTTCATGTTTGGATACAGTACTGCAGTTAAGGCATACCAATACTGAGCTGAGCAGGATTACTTTGCTACATTGCTGATTCACACACAAATTCTGACTCACCTCCATACTGTTTTCCACAGAACTGTTATCTATGCAGGTGTTTGTTCTTAATAAGGCCTGTACAGTTGACTGGGAAACATAAAGAGGAATGGTGTCCAGGCTGATTTTTAAAATACTGATAGCTCAGACACAACCATCCTGATACCCAGGAAGACAAGGAATTTCAGCATGAGGCCCAACTGGCTTCCTAATGACCTAATGTGCCAAAATAGTGGCATACAAGAGCGGGAAAACCAGACAGTATATAAAATGAAAACCACTGTTTTGATACTTAGATACAAAATCAGGAAGGCTGAAGACTTGTTGAAGCTAAGGCTAGCAAATGGCATAAAAGGTAATAAAGAGTAAAAATAAATAAATAAACAGGAACCATGTGACTCCCTGATGGCTAGGGAAGCCAGACTATTGATAGATGACCCAACATTAAGCTTTCTCCAAGGCTTCAGCAGTGACATGGTTTGGGAAGCAGAAGGGCAGCCAGCAGTATGAGAACAAGAAGTTAGGAATGCATTAGAGCCATATTTGTATCCATGGAACAGATGGGATTCACACAAGGGTGATGAAAGACATGGCCTGTGTGACGATCAGCTACGAATGTCACAGTGATCAGGAGATATCCCTGCTGACTGAAGAGGTTAATGTTGGGCCTGGCTTTAAAAAGGCTAGAAGTGAAAAAGCCAGAGAACTACAGGTAGGCCAGCCTCACCTCAATCCTTGGACAGAGTATGGAGCACACCCTCTTGGAGTCCATCTCCAAGCACAAGGGTCGAAGAGCTGGTAGGATAATCAGAAGCCTGGAGCACATGATCCATAAGAACAGAATGAGGGAACTATGTTTATTTAGTCTTGTGTAGGGGAGGCTAAGGGGCAATTTCAGGGTAGCCTGCAGCTACCTCCAAGCACAGCTGCAAAGCTGATGGAAACAAACTTTTCTTGTTAGTGCCAGAAAACCTAAGGTATTTCTGGGCAATGGTCACATATCCATCTTGGAAATTCAAGATGGAAACAAGAAGAAAAAAAATCATTAGGAGGTCAGCATAGCACTGGGACAGTATGCTCAGAGTCTGTTGATTGTTCATCATTGGACTTTTTCAAGGCTACTTTAGATAAAGCTGCAGCTGACTTGATTTAGTGATAGTGACAGTCCCGCTTCAGGAAGGAGATGGTCTAGATGAGCTGAAGAGTGCCCCTCCAAATGGAATTTCTTTGATGCTGCAATTCTTCTTGCCTCCCTGACTACTTGCTATTGAAGCACGTCCCATTTTTTTTCAGACTACTCCTCCAGTCTCTCAGAACTGGATTCCATCCCTCAGTGTATCCTGGGATTCTTTCTCGCTTTATTGTAACTGCAAATTCAGCAAGTGCACTTTTTATTCTACCATGTCATTATGGAAATATTTAATAGCACAGAACTCAGGAGATAATCCTGTTACACAGAGCTGATAGTGTGTATTTAAACACACTCACATCCATCAATCAGTTGCTGTCTTATTCTCAATACCTCAGTCGAATTACTCTTTTTTTGTCCTTTTGCTTTCTCATCTCTCCCAGACCTAACGATTCTTCTTCCTTCCTTCTCATCCACACACAGATTTCCTAACTGAAACCTGAAGTACAGAGAGAGGAGGGAGGAGTTAAAAAAAAAAAAGAAAAAAAAAAAAAAGTGAGCTACAAGAATAGAAATACCTGGGGCTAAATGTTCAGACTGAAGTGCCTGGAAGTCACTTTTCCATTTTATTCTTTCTCCCATACAGTGACCTTACACCCACCCAGACTGTTAATATCTCTGGGCAACCATCCATATTTTGTGATGTCAGCAGATTAACAGAACAGGTGTTTTCTAACCTTGAAAATCTTCTGTGAAATCCACAGGTGCAGGTTTGGATTTATAGATAAGGCACAAACACCACTGTCCTGCAACCCTGACATTCTCCTCTTCAGGAGGATTCTTTCCATATTTTTTGAGACATGTCAGTCCATCTTCACCTCTAACAATAGCTGAAATTAGGAATAAAAATCTGTAGGAAGTTACACTGACAACATCAGCATTAAATCCCCAAAGGATTCTCCTCCGACTTGCCAAATAATGATAAAGAAGGGGACAGGTCTTTCTTGCTTCAGCATATCTCTCCCTCTAACATGTTTCAGGTCTTAAAATTGAAAATACACGCAGACACACACAAGCAAAGGAAAGAAACAAACACCACTTTTGAGCTACAGCACTAGCGTGTCTTTCTTTTTGATTCAGGAAAGCACTGACACCTCTCATAATTTTTGCAATAATAACTGTGACTAATTTTATGCCCAGTAGAATAGATTAAGCCCACTTTTTTTTTTTTTAGAAAGTTACCAATAAGATTTGGAAAATTTGGGGATATTTTTGTTGTTGTTGTTTTGGTTTATTGAATACAAACCTAATTATGGTTTGCTAATCAAGCAATATGACAAGACAACACAGTATATATCTGAGCACTACTGAACTACTACACAATGTTACATGAGATTGAGTCTAAAGCCAAGTAAGAAACCAGCACAGAAATTCAATAATCCCATTTCCTACACAGTTAATTGCCTAGCACACTTTATAATTGCAAAATTAATATTAAACTTTAAAATAATGTCACTAGAACCTTTATTTATTCAACTCAATTCAGCTGTGCAACACCCATCCAAACAAGATCCATTTCTGTCTAATCCTAGATTGTATTCGCTTTCTAAAATCAAATGAAATAGAATCCACTAATATTATTGAGGAAATAAAAGTGAATCTTAAAACACTGCTGTTCAATCAAAATAACATAATCAGCAGGGGGCAGCAGGAGACTTTCCTAGAGCTTTGTTTCTTTTCCAAATTCCCTTCAAATTCTGAATTCTTATTCTTTTCATATCCTTGTAAGTGGCTTTTTTAATACATCCGAAAGACTAGATTCTGTCATTCTTTTCATGACGGGCTATCAGAAGGGCTTAAGCTGCTGGCTTCAACACAGATATGACTGACAGGCTGAAGGCAAAACATACTTGGTGGATCTCAGGAGAAATAGAAGCATCCCGTGCTGACTAAGCCCCCAAACACCAGGATGTACAAAAGGAGATGATTTGATATTGTAATTATACCTCACAAGACCAGTCTTCTGGACATTCCAGATTCACAGAGTTCCCTGAAGGTTTTGTGTTAGTCCATATAAAGTGTTCCATTTTGTTACTTTAAAAACCAAACAGGGACTCCAGTGTGACAGCTGCTAAATTAATAACTGAGAACCAAGCTGACACAATGAAATTAATTCCTCCAGTGGCACAGGGGCATATATAAACACCTTGTGACATAATCCTATTTATTTTCACACATAAGGCTTCAAGGGCTTCACATTCCAGCATTAATCTTCCTGTTTTAAAATTTTAAGATGAAGAATATCCAAGTATCAGAAAGGGTTTTGCAAGTCACAGATTCTAAAAATGGTACTTTCAGATGTATCTGCTGCCGTTTTCCCTGCTGTATGTACTTCACAAAACAGTAAACAGCTATTTGTTTGCATTACATTTAGGGACTGTAATAGCGCTGTTGCCAACAAGGCACTGCAAAATTGGTACCTTGCAAATACCTCCTAGGACTTAACATAGAGCTAAACCAAATACCTCTGAATTAATATGCAGAACAAGGCACATTTATCCTCCACGCAGAAGTGAAGCTGCTCTCAGGAAATTTTCATGCTTGTGCTGGTAATCTCCTTACCTGCAGCAAAGAGCATGACTGCAACTGGTCTATAGAAGCGCCGCCGAGAGCCCACGCAGATGGAGATCAAGCCCACCAGGAAAGCGATGAGGATGATGGAAGCGCCGCCCAGCAGCAGAGCAAGAGTCGCAATCTGCCAATCTGGGGAACAGAGGGAGGAAGAGAGCAAGAGAGAATATTAGGTTGCACTAAACAAGCCAACAGACTTGACCTAAGCACGGAAATATGAGGACAACGGAATAACTGGGGTTGTTTTTGTGTTTCCTAATTAGTGAAACAGAGGCAAGTTAAGAGCAAAGTACTGCAAAGACCCACTTTTTCAAGGCTTACTGGCCTCATTGGGATTTTTGCTCTAAAAAGATGGAATAATTTGCTACTTTGTTTCTGTCCAATTTAGGATGAGAAACAGGCTGGGTCAGGCTGACCCCAAGTCACTCGTAACTTTCCCTTAGCACAGAGCGAAATCCAACTTTTAGTTAGTGTTGGCTGGGATGGCTTAAGAAGGGAAATACACGGGAGCTGGTAAAATAGACACATCATGTGGGAAGTACCAAGGCCATACAATAAAAATAACAAAAGTAAGGGAAATAAAGGAATCTCTCCAAGAGAAAGAACATTTTTAAGGGGAGAGGGGAAAAAAAAAGAAAAGAAAAAGGCAGTTAAGCCTTTTAGTTAAGCCCTCATAACGTCGCTTATGAGTGTTAGGTGCAGATTGAGTCAAATCCAAAATCCACTTTTAAATATCAGAGTAATTATTCTTTTTTTTCCCCTCCACCAAAGGCAACTTTTCTATTTGGCTTAGCACATCTGTTAATTGTTTTTTATTATTATTTATTATTTTTATTTGTAACAGATGCAGTTGCAAACAACATTCTTGCAGTCTTAAATGCAACAAATGGCAACAGATGGCCATTATATCTCTATGTATTTATGTGCTAACATAAAGGCTTCTGCGCGATTTTAAAAAAATCGATGGCTTTGTGCTGACCCTCTTCACAAAAGTGAAGTTTAGACCTTGTCCCTTTGCCATAATAGGTGTCAAGAAAAAAAGAATTGGATCACTTATTTAATAATTCAAAAAAGAATATCTGAAATCAGTCCGTGGGAAAAGGAGCCATGTTTATCTCACTACTTTGCATATACTAGCACTCCTACATTATTCGGAATGAAATGGCAAAATGTGTGACACAGTTAAATATTTTTAAAATAAATTTAGAAATATTAATACTACTAAAATAAGAAACAACAAAAATAAACTTTTTTTTTTTGGAAAAAAGAGCAAAAATCAGGGTTTTCAACAGTGACCTAATCTGTTCAAGATACCTACACTGCAACTGTGGGGTGTGGGAGTGGGAGGGCTACAGCTAGTATCACCAAAAAAACCACATATATCAGAGAAGAAAGGATGAAAGATATTGAAAAACACACACACATTTATTTTCAATCTTCTTAAAAATGAACTATGTTATTCTGGGCAATTATTTATTTACTAAGTATTCCATCTTCCAAGTTCTTTTAGTCTTTATTTTCTTGTTGGACCAAGAGCCAGACTGGGAATAACTTTCCCTTACCCTCAGCATGCAATATGCAATTTAAAAGTCATCTTGCTGTGTCCCCTCTGTTTTACTATTAGTGGAATGGAAATGAAATTTCAATTTATAAATATTGTATGAAGAGTTTTTCTTCAATGTTGATAAAGACACTTCAAAAAACACAAATTGGTTAGTATACTTAAGATTTACAAAGTATTCTTTCAGTATCATAAGTGCATTGTAGGTATAAAACACAGAAATACATAATGAAATAGATGGACATTCTACCATTCTGAAAGAACATAAAAGGAATCTCTGTAATTGAAAACTACACAGACTACAAAGACTAATGTAAATCCACCTCACCCCAAAATTAAATAGCTATACAAAAGTGATAAAATGCATAAAAATGACATATGGAAAAATTCAAACTAAGGTTTTTGAAAGCCACTACAAATAACAGAATATTAAATGTTATCTTTAGATTGATCAGAAGCCAAAGTCTAGTGGAAAATAAACATGTGCAACACTGGAGTACCAAGTAAATTAAAACAAGCTAAGTATGCCATTGCTTTCTAAACCCATATGGCAAGATCAGTCACACACTTACTAGTGGAGGTACAGTACAATTTAGTTACCTGGAAAGAGGTATCTATGGTTTCATAAAAGTTAAAAAGAATTATACAATCTTACTACAGGATTGATGTGAGAAGTAAAAGCACAAGTCTGTGTTCGAAGACACCTACGTTCCTAACTAAAAAAAAGACTTAGCTAAACAAAATTAGTTTCTAGGATAAGAAAATCTGCTCTGTGATGTTGACAGTAGGATAAAACTGAGTTTCTTAACCTTCCTTTCTACTAGCTGACAACCAGGTATTTAACACCATGTGGAGGTGAAATGTCTGGAATTGCCTCTGTGTTTTGATCCCAGGCTCCATTTACAGGAGTGTACAAGAGCACCAGCTGAGCTGACCCTTGAAACAACGAGGTATTCTGTTTAGAGAACAGGACAAAAGTCAGGTCATGTAGATACTAGTCAGATACTACTGCACAAATAATGCTGGACTGAACTTGCCCATATTGCCTACCATGGAAATTATATCTTTAAGTTGCTTTTTTTCTTGGAAAAACAAGCAAATAAAAGATCAACTTTCACTTCTGAAAACTGATGACAAAATAAAGCTTATGCTGGATTAAGTAAGCAAAACCTTCTGCATGGGCCTTTTACTTAAGGGCACATATTTTAAGAAAAATCCAGAGAAATGGACATGTCTTACATAAGGGAAAAGAAGCTGCCAAGGAAAACTGAATCACTGCTTCTAAAAGAAAAACATTTTGCTAAGTTAGATCACTACAACACATGTAGAAAATACTCTTTCCTACAGTAAAAATCTGCAGTTCCTTGAACTACCCAGAAGTGATTTGCAGCACAGAGCAGCAGTGGCAACAGCAGGTTCCTGTCTGTGCCATGAGTGCTGCACAGTGTTGCTGGTATGTAGAACATAAACTCCATACGCCTCCCTCGGAGGCATCCAAAATATGCCTGCACCATTTCTAGGCAAGCAACGGTCTTGCAAAGGAGTTCCCGTGCACAGCTCAGGAACCCAGGCAGTTCAGCAAGATTGATCGAGATAGAAACGTCCATGAACACAAGCAAAACGTAAGATTGATCGAGTCTGGAGAGAGAGAAACGTCCATGAACACAAGCAAAACGGGACTCTACAGACCATTATTAGTCTCCTGCATTCAAAACAATTGGGTTTTCTTGATGCTTTAAGAATGCATAGCATTATTTTCCACTGCATCTCACTATGATTTGTTTATATTACACATTTAATGGCTACGACAAACATCAAGGGCCACGAATCTTAATATAACTTCTAGATGTTTAAAAAGCACTGTCATCTCACAGTTGCACCCAAATTACTAGTTTTCTTCTAATGTAACTGTAGAGACAACAAAAAGCATAAGTAGTAAATTAGCCTTTAATTTTTAGTTTTAATGATTTTAATATGTTCAGAATTACATTGACAATGGCACCTGTATCCCATCTGAACAACTGGAATAGATTTATAAATATTTTTTTTTATAAATGATTGCTAAGTAACTCAGTAACTTAATTAATTTGATTCCAGATACTTAACACACATTTTCATATATAATACCAAATACCAGAAGTGTTTACTTTCAGTTAATGTTTCATATGTAGCTTGGTACCTTTTCCTAAGACTACGCTTGGTTGTGTTGCTCTTTGGAAATTCTGCCCTTTTCTTAACGATAGAAAAGCACAGTGTTAATGTGACCCCAAAATGTGTGACTCCTTCGCCCTCTACCACAAATGAATGACCTGCGGCATTATGCTGGATATTCATTTTAATTAAAAAGAGATCTATCGTCTGCTCTATTTTGGGGACAAAACTATACCAGGATAAAATCAGGAAAAGTCATTAAAAGAAAGAATAAAGCATCTCAAAGTTATGAGAGAGGTGGTACTTTTAATAAATAGGCCATTCATTAACATGTGGAAGTGTCATGTAGATGGTTGGTATTGTCAGAGTTTTCAAGTTTTCGGCAAGTTCCCAACATTAAATATTCTCGATAAAGAAAATAGATACGTACTGTGGAATATGTGAAATATTTATGTATGATGTCTTCTTCAAACATCACAGACAAACTGAATTAATCTCTTAAGACAAGTATTTATTTTTATTTTGCACAATGGTTCTCCACCAATTCCTCTTCTGACAGAGACCGAAGTAAGAAAAAAATACATGAGTGTTATATGAAAACGGTCATGATTGGCCTTCCAGCACTAAGGGGAAAAGCTGGTGGGGGGCAGGGGAAACTCCTCTAAGGCAAGTTTTTCTGATTCATTGCAATCCTTCCATCTAGCACCTAACTGCTCTCAGCCAATAAATATGTTGAGAAATTATAATATAGCATTTAAATGCAAGAATCAGACTTTTACGGAAGGCCAAACTCCATTGAATTCAGCAGAAGTAGAGAGGCAAAGCAAGCACTATGGTCACCATCAGGTTCTTAGATATTATTCCACAGAGAAGTCAATTCTTTGGCTCCTCACCTAAACCAAAGTAACTTTTTTTTTCATTTTTATTTATTTGTTTTTATTTAATGGCGCTGTTTATTTGAATCCTGCTCCATATAGGTTTTAAAAATAAATTATTTGACTGAAAAGTGTGTGAAACACAGAATGAATCAACTTGGGAAGCCCCAAACTTGCAAAATATGCAGTCTATCCTTCTACTTTCTTGCCTTTCTTGCCAGCATCATAAGTATAGACTTTACAGAATCTGTAGGATACTATTTTGTACACTAAAGAGATGCTTTCTGTCAGGATCCAGATTTCATTTGGTTGCTTTAGCCATAACTTTGCACAGCAGAGCCTCACACAAAATCTCAATAAATGCAGTCTCTGCTCATTGTCAGTTGGGTAGTATGTTTATTAATCTCCGTTGCTGCACAGACACACTCTGGCTTCTGCATTTGCTTTTTATTTTATGAATTCAGAATGAGATTTTCTGAAGTCTGAAAATGAGTGCAGATCCTAAAGTCACTTTAAGCACTTAAAAAGTGCTACCCAGAACCATA